TGGGGGGAGCGGACAGTTCTCAGGGTCTTCAATTCAAAGGCTAATTCGAACTGAGGGCTAAGCCCGCCACAGGAAGTGATTTCATAAAGGGAGGGCCTCCACCAGACAAAAACTTCCTTCGGCTGAGGCCTTTCAGCAATCCAGTCCTTGGCGAGACCAGGCCTCATGCTCCACACACTACTGTTCCCCCCCCCCACTTCCAGTCAGTCCTACACACACTCTGCCCAATATGCAAACTGAATAGTTTCACTGCTCCACCCAACATCCTATGTTCCCAAAGCTCTCCACGTATGTCTTGCAGTTCTCGTATTGTTTCCACTGGATCGTTTTACTCTTGGGCTGTTTGATGCAGCCACGTTCAACAGGAGATTTATATAGCTGGTTTTAAATTGTGTCAATATATTTATTATTACTGCCTTTTAGATTGCTTATTGAATTATATTTTACTTTGATGCAAGCCACTCCGAGCCTCACTTGTCGAAAGAGTGGCAGAGTACAGATAAATAAATAAAGGTAAATTTGTTGTGTCTGCTCTGGCTGGCCAGTAAAAAGCTCTGTAATGGTGAGGAGAACTGGACATCAGGGGATACCACAGAGAATATTTCTGTGTGGAATCTCTATTGTCACTGCATTACAGCCAGTGAGAGCACAATGGGAAACTCTCCCCATGTGAAAGGAATCACTCTCACAGGGCAGCTAGACTTTCATGGCCAGTGTGTGGAATGAGGCCTCCGTCCAAATTTACAAGTGAACTGCTTTCCATATACGTCGTTCTAGATATGCCAGAGAAGGTACCCTCCTCCCCCAGGTGTTTTTTTACCTCTGACTTACTGGGGAGTGGAAAACTGCAGTGCTGGTTGGTTGCCCAAGCACGGAATCCCCCACAATCTTAATAAATACAAATCTGGAACATTTGTAATGGAATAGTCGCAAGCAATGCCAATAATAAATACAAATCTGGAACATTTGTAATGGAATAGTCGCAAGCAATGCCAAGACCGGACACACAAACAATTACACAAAGCAATCAGAAACTTTTGATCGCAGGTGAACATACCTCCCAGGTGTCTAGGATGTTTGTGTTGCTGGGTATGGTCATGCCTTTGTCATCGGCAGGAAACAGATCATCGCCAGCCTGTCAACACAAGGCACAAACTTAAGTATGTTTTACGGTAAACACATGAAGATGTATTCATACCAAGTCAGACTACTGGTCTTTCCCAATCCTAAAATGCAAAGATCCTTTAAGACAATGGTTCCTATGTGTGTGTGTGGGGGGGGAGCACTGAGGACCCGGGGGGGGGGCACAGGTTATTGCAATGGGTCTGCAAATACATATGTACACTAAACATAGTCATTTTGATCTTTCTGTCATGTATTTTCTCAATAAAAGGATACTAATAGTACAGCTACTACCATGTAGAGGGGTCCACTGATTTTTTTTTTAATGTTAGAAAGGGGTCCTTTTGTACTTGAAAAGGTCGGGAACGACTTCTTTAAGAGACGCTAAGGATTGATCTTGCACTCTTCCAAAGGGAGGCATAGCTACCTGACTTCCTCCAACCCCAGAGAAAGAGCCGGTGACTTTCTGACCTCTAAGTCATACAACCAATAAGGCAACTAACCATTTTAACTTTTTGCTCTAAATCCAGAAGGCAGCTGAAACAGACGTCAGACTGCCAATCTTCAGTTATAAGTATTCATGAGCAGTGTTCCCTCTAAGCTGAGTTAGCTCACAGTTTTTCAGCCTCCAGCTCACACATTTTTGTCTTAGCTCAGGAAGGATGGCTCCAGAGCAAACTAATTTTATGCAGTAGCCAAGTCACTCGCTCACAACTTTAATGCCCGTAGCTCACAAAATAGAATTTTTGCTCACAAGACTCCACAGCTAAGAGGGAACATTGTTCATGAGGCTGGGACAGCAGGCAAAGGTAATATTTCACACTAACATACCTGACAGGATCACCACAGCCCTTCCCCTGGCTTCCAGAGACAGCCTAGAAATCTAATATACTAAACTAATACCAAACCCTAAGAGCAACGGGAAAGTTTGTCAAGTGAAGGTCTCTTGACCAAAGAAGAGTCAACCAGACTCCTTCCCTTTTACCACCAAAGCAGAAAGAATTAGCCAGTGGTTTTCAAACACTTCCCTGCTAGAAATATGATCTTTGTAAAATCTAGATTCAGACTCCACTGAGTCTCCACCATGCATGGTTCGGCCACAACGGGGCACACTCTGAAATTATTAAAAGGATCCTTTCAGACTCTTTAGCGCAGAGGTGTCGAACTCATTTCTTACAAGGGCCAGATCTGACATAAATGTCACTTTGTTGGGCCAGGCCATGTGTGCCATAAGACATAATGCCAGGTACTGGAGACATACACTGTATAAAAGACAGCAGCTGGAAAGCTCCAAGTTGTTGTATCCTCATTTCAAGGCCCCATGGGCTGGGAGGGGGGTGCACAGGAAAACCCGTATGGGCGGACTGAAGAGCCAGACATTCCCACGCTGATTGACTGCTGCAGACAAGGTTGTTCTGCCATGCTGAAGCCACAATTGGAGTGGCTCTGCCTACTTCCACCTGAGCAGTCTCCCTTCCCTTGCACCAGTTGCTAGTGGCTCGCGTAAGAGCCCTGGGCAGGCCAGTTCCGGCCCCCGGGCCTTATGTTTGACAGCCCTGCTTTAGCATATTCCTGCCAGCAGATGGAATGTTCTCTTAGCTCATTTCTTGATGCTCTTCGCCATCATGGAGGGTCTACAGATATAGAGGTGCGCAGACTCATTACAACCTATCGCAGGAGAACCACCTACTAAGAACACATACAATTCTTTTGCTGGATCACAACAAAGCCCAGCTAATTTGGCACTCTGGTTCAAGTTGTTGGAAGTGACGGACTGGACACTGTCCCCTGCCTCAGCTTCCAGACTATGTGGCAACAGAGTCAGACAGCTAGAGAGGGCAAACACCAAGCTTCCTTCCTGTGTTTACTCTTCTGCCACTGTCCCCTTTGATATGCAGATTGTATTCTCAGGGAAACTTCCTTCCTTCTGTTCATCCTCTCCCACAACTCTCCCTTCTCCCTGCACGCACGGAGGGAGGACATGCTGTCCTCATCTTAGCAATATGACACAGATGGCCTCTCACCATCTGAGTCCATCCTTAGTTATCTAGACTGGAATGCTATCCTATCTTGATCCTAAATTGAAAGTATTATTATCTCTAAGCTTTCCTATCTAAATCGTAGTTCTAGAGTGACTAGTTTTAGTCTTAAACTTGCAATGTGGCTCTGTGTAGCTTTGTAAGCTGGGTAAACTGGTGAGAAGAAGCTCCTGTGTTTGCAGCTTTATTTAAAGCACCCTGCTAACTAGCGGGTACTGGACTAACCATACCAGTTAACCCAACACAAACAGTGGTCCCAAGTCATCTTTGTCAGTTTCCATTATCTGATTATCAGCTACACAGCCTGTGAACATGGAGGTTCCATTTTTAGCTTTGTTGTCTAGTAGTAACTTATGAATTGATCCTCCGTTAATCCTGCTCGTACCGTCACCCAGTTTTAAGAGGCGCTCTGCGAGGCCACAAGATTAGAGGCTTGCAGCTTCCAAGGGGTGACCCTTATGGGATCTGACATAGCCCTTTTCAAATGTTACAGAGTATGCATACTGGGAAGATGGCAAAAGCACAGAGATCCTCCTGATATGTGTAACTGCCATGTTGGGAGAGGGCCATAGCTCAATAGTACCTGCTTGGTGCATGCTGAAGGTCCCAGGTTCAATCCCCGGCATCTCCAGTTAAAAAGGATCAGATAGTAGTGATGTATGGGCATATTTTGCCCTCTTGTAAGCCGCCCTGAGCCTGTTCGTGGGGAGGGCGGGGTATACAAAAATAAAATAAATAAATAACAATAAAATACCTTGAATCCCACAGGCCAGTGAATTAGGTAGAGGTCCAGGTAATCCAACTTCAGGGATGTCAGGGTGGTCTTGCATGCCCCCTTCACCAGGTGTTTTTCATGGAATGTGCACCAAAGCTGCGGAGAGGGGAGAGAAATCATTGTTCACTCCAAAGATATTTAGTGTAGCCCACAGTCTTTTCCCGAGTGAGAGGCCTACCATATGAACTGGCCACTGGATTGCATTCATAAAACACTTCAACCTACAGCTTGGAATTACAGAGTGCCACTTGCTGGGTAGCGATCCCCTAAAGAGCTGCCTTTTTGCTTCCTTTTGGAAAGGCCTGCTGCTAATGTGAATATGCAGAGACCATAGGCACCATAGCCCCGCCTCTGGCGTAGTGGTTAAGTGCGCAGACTCTAATCTGGGAGAACCAGGTTTGATTCCCACTCCTCCACTACTAAACAAAACAGAGACTCACAAAGGTCTGGACAACACAGAGCTGTAACACAGAAAAGTTTAAAAACAAATTACAGCCTGACCATCTGTTCCTACACAATGGAATAATCTCAATAAGTCATGTCCAAAAAGATTTGTCACACTCGATTGTTCAGTAGATAACCACAAGCCTTACGGGCCAAACCTTTCCTTCCCCTCTGTCCGCCGTTTTTTTTTAAATCATCTTCGACACCAATAGACACATTAAAGGAATTCCCCATGCTCCCTAATTTTAGGTAAAGGTAAAGGTTTCCCTTGCTCGAAAGCCAGTCGAATCCGACTCTAGGGTTGCGGTGCTCATCTCCGTTTCAAAGCCGAAGAGCCAGCGCTGTCCGAAGACGTTTCCGTGGTCATGTGGCCGAGAGAAATCATTGTTCACTCCAAAGATATTTAGTGTAGCCCACAGTCTTTTCCCGAGTGAGAGGTCTACCATACGACCTGGCCACTGGATTGCATTAATAAAACACTTCAACCTACAGCTTGGAATTACAGAGCGCCACTTGCTGGGTAGCGATCCCCCAAAGAGCTGCCTTTTTGCTTCCTTTTGGAAAGGCCTGCTGCTAATGTGAATATGCAGAGACCATGGGTACCATAGCCCCCCCTCTGGTGTAGTGGTTATGTGTGCAGACTCTAATCTGGGAGAACCAGGTTTGATTCCCCACTCCTCCACTAGCAGCTGCTGGATGACCTTGGGCAAGCCATAGTTCTATCAGGGCTGTTCTCGAGAGAGAGCTCCCTCAGCCCCACCTACCTCACAGGGTGTCTGTTGTGGGGAGGGGAAGGGAAAGGAGTTTGTAAGCCGCTCCGAGACTCCAAAGTGAAGGGAGGGGAGGGGTATAAATCCAATCTCCTTCTCCTCTCCTCTTCCTCTTCGCATGCATACCAGGGTGAGCAGTAGATACCAAATCCAGTCCACGCAGCAGTGCACAGGATTCCTTTTTAGCACACACAGCATCAGAGACTCCAGCTCCTCTTCTTCCCGTCACATGACTGTGATGTCACGCAAGTTCCCGACATGCACTTGCAATTCAGTGGATCCTGCGCTGCCACCTGAGGTTTTGGGAGGGTCCCAGGTCTAGAAAGCTTGAAGGTTTCCACTACAGTGTAGCAAGAAGGTCTGGTGGCTGGTTTGTGATGGACAACCCAGAGCCAAACGTTCAGGAAAGTCATGTGTCTAGCAAGCGCTCTTATTTCTGGAACAGCAGAGCTGCCTTTTGCAGAAAATTTTCAGAACCACACCGACTCGGATTTTATTTTACGTATTTATTTTATTTACTTAATTTATTCCCTGCCTTTCTCCCTCATGGGGACCCAAAGCCGTGACCACCTTCCTTTCCTCCATTTTATCCTCACAACAACCCTGTGAGGTAGGTTAGCCTGAGAGAATGTGACTGGCCCAAGATTACCCACTGAGCTTCTATGGCAGAGTATTTGAACCTGCATCTCTCATAGAACCATAGAGTTGGAAGGGGCCATACAGACCATCTACCAGCCTCTTCTTGAAAGCTGCCACTGAAGGGGAGCTAACCACCTCCCTAGGCAGCTGATTCCACCTTTGAGCCACTCTAATTGTGAAAAAGTTTTTCCTGATATCCCATATCCTTGTCCGACACTCTTACTACTACACCAGGCTGACTCTCGAATGTATTATGTTTTACTATACGAAGCAGAGACTCGCAAAGGTCTGGACAACACAGAGCTGTAACACAGAAAAGTTTAAAAACAAATTAACAGCCTGACCATCTATTCCTACACAATAGAATAATCTCAATAAGTCATGTCCAAAAAGATTTGTCACACTCGATTGTTCAGTAGATAACCACAAGCCTTATGGGCCAAACCTTTCCTTCCCCTGTCCCCCGTTTTTTAAAAAAATCCTCATCTTCGACACCAATAGACACATTAAAGGAATTCCCCGTGCTCTCTAATTTTAGGGGTAAAGTAAAACCCCACACTGCTGTAACAAAAAGCATAGCAATTACATTCCAAACCAGTGTCTGTTTACAAAATCACAAGTGTTTTCCCTCCTCCACAGCTTCATTTCCAAGAAGGCCTGTACAAATGCAAGAGTTTGCTGCATTGAATGTCATTGCAAGGAGGCTATTTTTTTCTGCAGCCAGATCTATCAGGTCTGCTTTGGAAATGTCTAGAAGTCTGCAGGAAAGTTTTTAGCGTGCCTTCTGAGGCCTTGAAATGTGTTGATCTTAAAAATGTGGCTGCTGTTTCCAAGCACACTGGCTGTTCTGCATTCTATCTTGTTGTGAGTCACTTTCAGTTTTTTCCAGAGAGGATTTTGCTTCTGATCTCCTTTCAGCAGCAGGGATTTTTCCTATGTAGGTATTTTGCTCATTTGGCTGTGATACAGACAGTTTTTATCTTTCTGATTTTTAAAAATTTCATTATGATTTTTTTAACCTTACATTCTGCTTTTTAAACTTTTGCGAGCTGCCTTGAAGATCTCGCTTTAGAAAGACAGGGTATAAGCTTCGAACAGTGCAATCCTAGCAGAGTTGACATCTAAGAAACAACTCTGACTGGGGCTGCACTGTAGGTAAACCAGCATAGCAAAGGGGCACAGATTTAAATAACATAAAATAAATACCTTGCTGACAACAAACAAGTCCTCGCGCTTCACAACGCCTGCCTTGATTTTCTCTTGGATCCCACTGCCAACTTCATCTTCGTTCTGGTATACGTAGGCGCAGTCAAAGTGGCGATATCCCACAGCGATGGCCTTCTTCACTGCATCGGCTACTTTCCCTGGGGGAGACTTCACAATCAAGAGAAACCCTGTTCAAATTCCTCATTTGGTTATCTTGTCAAACATCTTCGTTTCACTCCAAACCTTTTCTAATAGTTCTGCCCCAGGCACAGGAGCCTGGAGGTGCCCTGGTTCAGAGGCAGAGCAACTGCTTTGCATGCAGAAGGTCCCAGGTTCAATCCCCAGCATTCCCACTTAAAAAGGCTCAGGTAGCAGGTGATGTGACCGAGGTCCACCTAAGATCCTGGATAACGGCTGCCAGTCAGAGTAGATAATACCGACTTTGATAGACCAATGGTCTCTAACACCATATACAGCAGCTTTGTGTGCACAGCAAAGTCAACAATGATTTAGTTAACTATCTGCATCATATATGAAAGAAAAAACTTGGGACTCCATTGTCTCCATTGGCTGTACAGAAGCTACCTTTTTAAAAGGCCATTTTAATTGCGACTTGGTGTTCCTGTACAACCTTGAAATGCGATCTGAGTACCTAATCAGAGGTTTCTGAGGCCAAGAGAGAAATGATTCTAAGTGCACAGGCAAAAAGAATAGTGAGTTATAACAAAGAATGTGCCAATTAGGGCCATACTAGATGGTGTTGAGGGCTCCAACCTGGAAAGGAGAAAGCTGAAGGCAGAGATAAACATGTGGGAAAGGACACATGTTCACTCTTGCTGCCTGTTCTTACACTTAGCTTCAGCAGGGGAGAGGGGCTAAGGGAAGCACGCCAAAGATATTAAGGAAGAAGGTATATTTGAGGAGAGACTTAAAAGAAGTGGGTGTGGTAGCCTCACACAGGCGTTCTTGGAGTGTGTTCTATCACGGAAAATAAAAATGTGTATCCTAGAGGCACATGAGGTCAGGGCTGGCCCATCACTGACAATTTTAGGCAGTAGCCTAGACCAGCCCCTGAAAGGGGGCGCCGCACTGGCCTGCCGCCCCGCCCCCTGCCTTGCCAAAAGCCCTGCTCAACTCGCCACAAGGAGTCGCGTCCTGGCGGCTGCAGGGACCTGGGCGCCCCGTCCGTTTGCAGGGAGGGAGAGCGGCAGCACCGGGGAGCGAGCTGCTGGGAAGCACCTCCCCGCCCGCCCCTTGGCACACCAGCTGTGCCACCCTTTCGCTCCCGATCCCCCTCCCCGGAGGGGGCTGCTGGCTGGTCTCTCTGGAGAAGGCGAGGGGGCTCCTTCTCCTTCCGTGCACACAGGTCCAGCATGGGGAGGGGGGCGCCACAAGGTAGCTTTGCCTGGGGGGGGGGACCACAAGGTAGCCTCCTAGTGTGTAAAAAAACCTGGGGCCGGCCCTGCATGAGGTAAACCTGTCTTGAAGCCTGCTGAGCGTGAACTTTTCATTTCACAAGGGGGCCGCAGAAAGCTGTGATTATTTCCACAAGCAGGCTTCAGCTATTGAGTGCTTGCTGGAACTTTTAGTCTAGACCTGCCTTGCTACACCTCAGGGATAAACAACCAAAAGCAATTACTGTGCAGGCCCATTCAACAAAGGACGTCTAGACCCCACCCTTAAAAGCTGAAGGCTGCAGTGTTATTCTAAGACAGAGGAACCAGAAGTAGACACTGATAAGGACAGATGGTCCCTACAGACAGAGACTCTGTCTAGCTGATTCCCTGTCACCACTAATCAATGGCAGTTATTCGCCTTCCGGGGTTGCTCTGCGACTCTAATTTGTTGAGAGGGACAAACAGCAAAGAAAAGATTACAGGTTGCCAGAAGGAACAATTTCCCCCCTTTAGTTCTTTATTTTATATACGATGCAGATTATTAACTAAATCAGGCTGAAGCATGGGCAACTAGTGTGCTGTGTATGGTAAACCATGCCACCTGCCTACCAGGAAGGAAATGTCAAGAACAGAACCAGGAAGAGATTGTTGCATCCACTATTTTCAAACCACGCTTGTAAGCTTGGGGGGGGGGGGACACAGGGTTTTTGACCACAGGGTCCTGAGAACAGCAGATAACAGCAGACAGGTCTGAAAGAGTTCGTGCATCTTCATAAATCTTCCCCACGGAAAGCCATTCAGTTCAGGTTTGGGCCAAAGACCCTTTCTCTATTTATGCCTCTTTCCTTTATCTGCCCCTTCCATGCAGCACCTGATACACTTGTCCCTTCCTTCATCCCGACATTCTTTCTCAATTCTCCATTCTTCAGTCACAGTTACTATCTCTCCGGGTTAGATCCAGACAGCTTTTTCACTCATTCTCCCCCAATTCCCCTCCTTATTATAGCCCCTGTCCCCCATGACTTTTATCTATTCTGGACCCACGATCCCCAAAAAAAGCCCTTTGGGAGGGATCAAAGGGAAAACCCTCCTTCCTTTTTCACCAGCAGAAAAGCAGGCTGGATCCAACCCTATGTATTATTTATATCCCACTTTTCTGACAAATGTCTCCCCAAAATGGCTTACATCAATAACTAGACAGGTGGACAATTTAAAAAGACAAAGACATACAAGGAGAGGAAAGTAAAGGGGGGGGGGAAATAGAGGAAGGGAGATCAGCTGGACATTTAGAATTCATAATGCAGCTGGGCCAGGCCGACCTCATTGGAATTAATGTGCTGTAGCGGTGTATCTATCCTACAATATTACGGGCAGTGACAAAGGCCGGCCTTGGCTTTCCCCTTTCTTCTCCAGCCTCAGGGTGACTGGCAGTTGAAGTAGGACTATTTCTGTCAGGGAAGGGGAAGAAAGCTCCCTGAGTTTGTTGCTTCATTAGTTGATGGCTGGGCCACGCCGGTCGTCTCCTTCCCATGATTTTCTTCCAGGAAGTGACAAGGTAAAACTTCCCAACATCCCTTATTTCTCTAGCTGGTGACTGAGGCCAGAGCAGGGATAATCACTCAGTGCCACCTGTGGCTCTTCTGCGCACTGTTCCTCAAAATGGCACCTGTCCCAAATCCCAAGAAAATATAAAGCTAGACCAGTGCCCAGTAGGGCTTGTGGCTGGTAGGTGCGTCCCACCCTGAAAAGCTGGAGGGACTGGAGGATAGGTAAGAGGAAAGACTCCATGAGCGGTGGACACTGCGCCAGGGATGGAAAGGACAATCCCCTGAAACGTCTGCCTGCCATACACGTTCTCTGCATCATCCGTATTCTCATTCTTGCATCTGGCGGGAGGAGAGCAACCCGGCCACAAAGACGAGAGAATAAAACCACCACCATGTTAACCACCCAGGAAGAGAATAAGCTGGCCACAGTGGGGTGATGCTTTTTCTCCCTGCTCTCCACACCCACTCGCTCTCTTCCAGGCGCCTTGGCGATCTCACTCCCTCGCCGGAGGGAGTCTGCCTCATGCTGAGGAGAAAGCTGGCAGGCTTTCCCCTCCCCCCAAGTGTACCAGGGCTGGCTAACGTCCAACAGCAGTGTCGAGAGAGAACCTGATATGTGCAGAAGTAATCTGGTAATTAAAAAGGCTACTGTTAGATATTTAATATTAATAGCTGTACTGTATCTCATTGCGCGTGTGTGCTGGGTGAGGTAGGGCACATGTGGCAGGAGACCTCTCATCATCCGCCTGCTGTTTTCACCCGTTTGGTGGCAGAAGAGGTGGGGCGTGTGTGTTGTCATGCTGTCACATCTGGACCAGACACGAAAGCGATGCTCTGGCATCCCCCTCCCCCCAATCCTATGGTAAAATGGCACAGTAAAGGAGTGACATCACTTCCAGGTTTGCATCAGAAGTGATGGCGTACAAATGGTGTGTAAAGTATTGAAAATCGCTTACATGAATCGTCTCATTCACCTCCCATGTTAAGCTTGAGACGGATGAAGGCTCCTACACACTAGAATGCTATTGGTCGCTCTACAACAAGCGACCAATCTGAGAAGGACTCATTCCCCGAGCGGGAAGAATGCTTATTGGTCCTTATCCGAATAACCCCATTGGTTATTTGTTGTAAATAGGCGTGGCTATGTTAGCCCGGGGAATGTTTAAAAGGAGCCTAGCTCCCAATGTAAATCTGTTCTGGTTATGAATGCGTTTGAGTGCTTGTTCGTTACTTCAATAAAGCTGATTCACTTTGCTGAAATCACTCTCCGGATCTTTGTTAGTGGCGATCTAACATGGTGCAATGTCATCCCCCCCCCCCCGCCTCCTGCTGGTTGCTAGGCAATGGCTGTCAACTTTAGCTGCACACGGCATACAACAGTTTAAATCAGCTAACATAGTTCCTCCTGTATGCCATGATAGTATACTCTCCTCATCCATGAAATTTCCCAGTACCTATCCCTTCTCTTCAGCCTTTCACCGCCCAACGGAAATGTTTATACAGGCAATCAGAAAGATTCCACCCCACCCCACCCCAAATTTGTGTACACAACACTGTAATTTTTATTGGCACTATTTCTTTCCCTTCCTATTGGCACTATTTATTGGCTCTATTTAATTTGTACAACAGAACTATTTTTAGACTAACATAGTTTAAAATAGGTGTCTTCCAGAACTGGTGGGGTTTTTTACCTATATGGTTGGAATATGTCAGCATCAGACTTTTGGGGATAAAATTATAAACATCACTGCACAAATGACCGAGCAGATTTTGCCTCTGTATTACAGCCTTCTGGAAGTTTCGCAAGGGTTTTAAAACAAACTAATTTCATGGAATGGTTTGGGATTTGCTAACTGCAGTCAGAATATTAATAGGGGGGAAAAATACTGGCAGCAGTCATCCAACAATCCAGAAACACTGGTTTACAAAGATTTGTCAACCAGTAAAAATATCACAAAGTTATCCAAGTACTTCTGGATAAAAGATCAAATGCTTTCTCAATGTACAGAGTTCAAGAGATCTCAAGTGAATATAGAGATGAGAATTTGTTTTTTTGGATTAAGAAATTAACTGCATACTGCCCTGACCTGGATAGCCCAGGCAAGCCCAATCTCACCAGAGCGTGGAAGCTAAGCAGGGCCCATCCTGGCAAGTACTTGGATGGGAGACCTCCAAAGAATACCAGGGTCAGGAGGCAGAGGCAGGCTATCAAGCCACTTCTCTGAACATCCTCCATGCCCCAGGAGGAACAGGAGTCGCCAGAGGTCACCATGATTTCCAGGCATGGCCACACACACACACACGTGCGTGCACACACACAAATTGCAAAAGGATACCAAAAAGTAAAGAAAAGAATTGTGTACTGTCAAGTCACAACTGACTCACAGCGACCCCAGGATTATGGGGTTTCAAGGCAATAGATTATTCCCAGTCTTCCTTGGTGGTCTCCGATCCAAGTACTACCTGTGGCCAAACCTGCTTAACTTCCATTCTCTCTCTCTTTTTTTTTTTAATAAGTTTTTAAAATTATTATTATTATTCTGAACAATATATTCAATAGTACATTCAGAACACAAATTAATACCATGCAATAATCAACATTCTCCACCCGTAAGAGCCTTTTAAAAATATAACAGATCTTTGTAATAAGAGTTGTTTGGAATCACTTCTTCGTCTACGAGATATTCCACTGCTGGGAACCAAGTCCTGTCCATCTGCTCAACAATTCTGGACACAAATTGCTCAACAAATTCACAAAATTACAGGAACTAACTTAACTTCCATTCTCTGATGAGACTGAGCTGATCAGAGCTATTCAGGCCGCTAATGAGTACACAGTAGGCATTTTTCATTTTTTACTTTCCCTCTGAAGTTCTCATATCTTGTTTGGCTGGGGGTGGAGTAGGCCTGTACAAAAAGCGGATGTGTGCGCACACACCCGTCATTTGGAATAAAACGAGAGCAGCCCCAGGAATATAAACAGAAGCACAACTAGAAACTTTATCTCCAGTTAACCTAGCTGTTCCTTGAGTACATAATTCACTATTTGTCCCAAGCATTTGTTGCCATGCAGCCACTTCAGATGGCATTCTTAAAGACTCTTTAATATGACTGCTTGGCTGGACTGTGAAAAGTGTGTGCCAGGGCGATGGACAGAACTGTAGCCCTAGAGAAGTGCCCGATGCTGGATTATGGGATACACACTGTGGCCAAGGGGAGCCACACCCTGCCTTTTTGTGTTCCATTCTCGGCCGGTTTGGAATCAGTCCATATGTGTGTTGTTGGTCAACTCATGATCCCTTCCCCCTTGTTGTGTTTTTATTTTTTGCTGCATGATCCAAGTGTCCCATCGGACGGGTAAAGTATCACCCCTCAACGGCATTTCCTGCACATGCAAATGTTGCTATCCTTTCAACCAGGGGTCATTTCATAGAAAAAGAGCTAGGGGAACTCATTAGCATAACTCATTAGCATATGCCCCACCCCCTGACATCAGGGGCCCGGCGGTGGACCTGCAAGGCCGGCGGGAGTGCGAGGAAGCCCCGCCAAGGTCCTCCCTGGCCCCAGGCAGGCAGGGGTGGGGAGAGGCGGGGAGGAAGCAACTTACCCTCCCTCCTCTCCTGCCTCCTCCTGGCTGAATGAGGGCCGGAAGCGGGGCGGCCGGAAGCAGGGGGCGGGGCTTCATCGTGTGCCCCGCCCCCCGCACCTCACCCGGGGGAACTGCGATTCCCCCCGAAATGACCTCTGCTTTCAACTCTGTATTCTTAGTTCTGTATTGTGTGTGTGAATGTTTGATTATTGTTTGTATGCTTCAAGAACATTTAGTAAAGAAATTGTTACTTTAGCTACACAGTCTCTGCGTCTATTCAAGGGCTCTGGGAATTCTGACTCCCGTATACACAGGTTATGATCCCAAATTTTATGCCTTGCCATCCAATATTTATAATTCCCTAAGTTTAGTAATAAAATAAGGCAATTTGGCTAACACATTCTATGTGTAATTTTTTAAAAGAGTATAATATTTCTGTCAATTAGGGAAAAGGAACATGAAGTTCTGCTTTTAAATAAATGGTTTCTTTTTAGCGTTTCGACTCCAAAAATGCCATTGGCAGCACTCCAAGGGTAAAGGCGGGGCTGTTTTTCGTATTCTCCTTGAAAGCAGCATAACCAAGTCAAACGCACACTGAACTGCCATTTTTTTTCTTTCCAGTAAACATGAATAAATAAGGCTGCCTACTCAAGATTTAGGAAATTCCTGAAGATTTGGGGGGGGGGCGGAACCTGGAGATGACAGGTTTCAAGGGGGGGAGGAGCCTCAGCAAAGCATAATGCCATAGAGTCCGCTGTCCAAAGCAGCCATTTTCTCCAGGTGAACTGGTCTATATAATCTGGGAATCAGTTGTAATTTTAGGAGATCTCCAGGCCCCACCTGTAGGGTTGCCAGCTCTGGGCTGGGAAATGCCTGGAGATTTTGGGGGTGCAGCCTGGGCAGGCCGGGGTTTGGGGAGGGGAGGGACCTCAGCGAGGTATAATACTGTACAGCCCATCCTCCAAAACAACCATTTTCTCCAGGAGAACTGATCTGTGTTGTCTGGAGTAATTGTAGTTCTGGGAGATTTCCAGACCCTACTGCATAAAACCAGGCTGTGTGGCTACCGTATTTTCCTCTTGTCAGGCCCCTGGGCCTTTAACAACTGAGAGGTATGCAGAAATTTAAGAGGTGAAACTCTTCCCTTCAGCATTTACATGTAGTCACAAAAAACAAAAAAAAAACCCCACCCCTTCATTTGCTGGATTTCTGACTCTTGTTAAATGCAAGGGGGGGGGGTAACTATGAAACCCAATCCTGTGTAGCTCAGCCCTGCTGAGTTAACTGGGGCTTGCTGTCAAATTAAGACGTATAGGAATGTCGTCCTAAAGTGAAACTACGCCAACACTAGCTTTCTAAAAAATAAAGACGTTATTGTCAAACACATTAGTCTGCAAGTTTCACCAAGTTTAACAGGGAATAGCTCCTCAAGGAGGTAAGTGCAACCACTGCTTTCTGTTGAGGACATTTTGGCTCTTACTAATCGGTTACATCGTTACTTTCTGGACCACTACTGGAAGATGCTGCAAAGTAACACCATTTACCACCTGTGCATATGCAATGGCCAAAGGATTTAATCTTAAGAAGCCTCACAAACATTCCTGTCCTGCTCCTACTAATTTCGTTTTGGAACATTCCTTTTTTGGTCCAGTATTAACATTTTCTTTGTTATTTCTTTGTAACATGTACCTATATGTACCTCATGCTGTTTGACCTCTGAAGAAGGCCTGATTGGGCCGAAACACGTTAGGTCACAATAACTGTTCCTTGAGCGCATGTCATTTGTATTTGTTCACGAGACTTTCATTGGGCCCTTATATATTTTTTTCACTTTTCTCAAAATAAATACATGTACTTTTTACTTATAAGAACTTTATATGAGGTTTTAACTATTGGCCCTACACCAGTTTTTTCCTTACCTTTTTTGGTTCCTGATGTGTAACCTTGGAATAGTGCCAAAGTTTGTAAATATACCCCTCCCCCAATCCAAGATAGCCAATCTGAAGCAAGGTTTCGGTCAAATACCTGAAGGACCACCTACTCTGTTATGAACCAGCCGCACTACTCCAGTCATCCTCAGAGGCCCCGCTTCAGGCGCCCTTGACTTCTGAGATTAGGTGGTAGCGACCTGGAAGAGGGACTTCTTAGCTGTGGCCCCCAAACTCAGCTCTTGGCCTCTCTCCCCAGGGAGACTTGATCGCCCCCTTCTGTTACCACCTTCTGCCAGAGTGTTGCTTTGGCATTCCCTCAGTGATGCCTCCTTCCTACCTGTTTTACTCTCTTTTTAGGCTTTGGTATGAATGCGCTTTCACACATGCTAAATAATACAGTTTCAATCCACTTCAGCGACTCTTTCCAAGTGGATTTTACCATTTCACACTATGGTGCTGGAGAAGACTCTTGAGAGTCCCTTGGACTGCAAGAAGAACAAATCAGTCAATCCTCAAAGAAATCAACCCTGACTGTTCCCTGGAAGGCCAGATGATGAAACTGAAGCTCAAATACTTTGGCCACCAAATGAGAAGGGAGCACTCACTGGAGAAGACCCTGATGCTGGGAAAGACTGAAGGTCAAAGAAGACGGGGACGGCAAAGGATGAGATGGTTAGACAGTGTCATAGATGCAACAAACATGAAGTTGAGCAAACTTCAGAGGACGGCGGAAGACAGGAGGGCCTGGCGTGATCTGGTCCATGGGATCGCAAAGAGTCGGACTCGACTGTGCGACTGAACAACAACAACAAGAAAATCCAGATGCAAAGTGGATTGAAAGTGTGTTATTTAGTGTGTGTGTGTAAGCTGTGTGTTCTGGTGTTGGCTGCTGGTTTTATATTTCATTATGTATATTTTCAGTCTGTCTGTAGCTGTAGAAAAGTTCAGGAGTCCACCAGCACCTTAAAGACTAACAAAATATGTGGCAGGGGAGGAGCTTTTGGACTCTTGGTCTTCTCTACAAGAGCAGTTAATAAATCTTTAAATTAAATTTAACTTCTGTTATTCTAATTTTTGAATTCCATTTAAATTGTATCACTCCCGGTCCTTTCTTCCCCTCCTACAAAAAAGGAAAGAAAGAGCACAAGACCAGGCGGAACAATAAGTCAGATCTCATTTCTGCAAACTGCGTAACAACTGTGTAGAGGAAATAAAACTGCTGAAAAGTAGAGCTCGACTGTCTAAGCAGTATACCAGAAAAGAGGATTTACAGAATTTCTCCCTCCTCTTCTCTGCCGCCCCCCTATAACCACAGGCACACGAACACAAGCGCAACCAACAAAACGGCAAATGGGACATCGGCGAAAGTAGATTTTAAACCAAGCCACCCTGCTTTCGTGGGCAGGACGCAGCATGCACAAGGAAAGACATTCTTTTGGCAGGTTTTTTTTTTTTTTCCAGATACAATCGAAAGCTTTGTGTCGAGGGAGCGACAGCTGGAGAGAGGCAGCAAGAGAGAGGTCGGCGAATGCAATTTGGAGGGAGGGAGGAAACAGATGAACGGATGGCAGATGCAATACTACCCCCGCCCCAGACACGTATCGTACCGCCTCGCTTGCAGACACCCACCTTCCAGGTGCCCAGCCCGAGGATGGGCATCTTGGCCTTCGTGTAAAGCTCCACGTACTTGGCCATGGCTTCCCACGTCCGATGCACGACAACGCTAGGCCGGGAAAACGCAGCAGCAGCAGCAGCACCACCAAGCGACACCGCCCCCAAAGCGAGCCCGTTTTAATAGATCTGGCCACGCCCCGGGAGGCGCTAGGCTGGAGTTGGGGGCAGATTTTGCATTGCTAAATAAAAAGTCCTTTTGGCGCCCTTCTTTTCCCGTGTTGTTTTGGGACAGCCGCTTTCTGCTGAAAAGGCCGGCGGGAGCTTGTGAGATGTACGGCGCGCTCTCGTGCGTCGTTACGCCGGTGTAAATGCTACAGCGTTCAGCCAGGTTTAAGGGTTTTTGAGTTTGCAGATCGTGTAACTGTGGCTTTCCCCTGCACTTCCTATGTCAAAATAAGCACCAATCGCGGCTTTGTAAAAATGTGGAACCGGATACTAAATACACAGTTCAAGAGAGGGGGGGGGGGAATGCACCGCTCCAAAAGCCCCTTTTGCGCAGTTAAAAAATTGAAGCCCTGCAAAAGTTGAATTATGATTAACTGATGGGAAAAGATACGTATGTGAAAAGTGAACAGTCGAGGCTTTTATCGATCCCCAGACCCTGATCACGTGTAGCCAATATCTCCACCATCACCCTTGCCAAAGATCCATGCATATTTCACTGCTTTTCAAAAATGGAGCAAATCATGCTTGAACGAGCTTATGTAATTTTGCGCTCTGAGAACGGTGTGAATTGAATCTATAAGGTCTGCTATACTGTGTGCATCTTTTTTCTTCCCTTGTTACACACAGACACACACACTCTCGCTCACACATAAGGTTTTGTTGGAATTCTTGATGTTTCTTTGGTGAAGCTTGAATATAACAGCTTTCTGCATTAGTGTGTCATTCTATTCTCCCCCTGTCATGGAATATTACTCTGTGCAGCCTAACTGAGTGTCCGCACAGGAGGGAAAAGCACAGATGCCTTTGTAGCACCACAAGCTTCCTGTGCTGAAGGCAGCGTCTCCAAAACAGAAAAGAGACCTATCAGGATTTTTTTAGTACTGGCATTTTTTTAGTACTACCAGACCTGTGGAATAGGGATAAAAGAAGTCCCTGTTTGAGAACCACACAAGCCAGGCATCCCCAACAAAAGCAAAACACTCAAGTCTTTGGAAGCATTTATGGCCAGGCTAGATCCCAGAGATCCAATTGGCTGTCTAGGGATGGGACCATGCTAGTCTAAGGCAAGAATAATGCTAACTTTGACTGCTTCAACTGGAGCATTTTGCTTTGCCCTGCAGAGAGTGGATTTTCTGAAACATTTACATCCTGTTGTCATCCAATTGTTCTCCTTATGTCTCCTTCAGTGGTCGGTCCTGGTTTGTTCCAATGTTTCCCAAACCAATATTGGTCCAGTCTTTCCAGAAGGAATGGCATCAAAGTGATCTTACCCAACATGGTAATGGGAAGCTGTGATTTTCTGAACCTCTCCATCCACACTGGTGTCATTTCCCCACCATATCTCCTTGTACCCAGCCCACACCAGTAGAGTTTTTTGCCAGCTTAAAAAAAAAAATGCTAGTTGCTGTATCGCTATAGTGTTATAATGCTATAGCAATATTATTACTACTTTTTAAAAAGCCCTCTGGCTGCATGGAAGGGTGAAATGAGGGGATATAGAAGAAAATATGGGGAATATCCCCATGTGGGCACTCCATTGCTGCTATTAATGCCTTTGACTTCCTCGCTATGGAAAACTGAAATGGTATATTTTGATAAAAAGGTACGGAATCTCAATTCTACAATCCATACAGATTTAATGTTCTAAGTGTAGCTGTATTTGGAACAAACATTTGTTGCCTAACCAAAGCTTTGGAATGGGCTAGTTCTCTTCCCCAGGCACAATACATAGTAAATAATGTTGGCCGTGTACTTCTGCAGGTAGCTATATGCACAACTGAAGATTTATATTCCAGGAGATTCTTAGAATCCACAAAAGACTTTCTGAGATCTACCACATAATGTGGACATTGAGTGCAGTGGGTGCTTTGGGAATTATGAAATCAGATGTTAAAAAACACTGTATTTTTTAATGTGACCAATTGTTTCAGGTCAGTAATGCATTATTAAACTGTAGAGACTGTTGTATTTTTATGCTAGTCCAATCCCTACTCTTCCTCCTCCCAAGGAGTTCAAGGCTGTATACATGGCTCTTCTCCACTTTATCCTCACAATTTATTTACTTCATTTACACCCCACTTTTCTCCCCAGCGGGGACCTCTTATCCATTCTATCTTCACAACAACCCTGTGAAGTAGGTATATGGTGAGAGTGTGACTGGCCCAAGTTCACCCAACAAGCTTCCATGGCAGAGTGGGAATCTGAACCTGGGTCTCCCAGGTCCTTTAGGGTGAAGGCTGGCATAGCATTTTATTAGTTCAGTTCTCAGAAGACTTGTACTCTTCTAAACCAATGGATTTATATGAGTAGTAACTTGGCTTTAGTTTGTACTATGAAAGTGAAGCCACAATTTGCTACCCTGAAATAAAATACCCAGGAATGTACAAATCCATTCAGGTGGGTAGCCGTGTTGTTCTCAAGCAACCACAAAGTTTGAGACCTGTGGCACCTTTAAAGACCTACAAAGTTTAATTCTGTGTATAATCCTTCATGTCCATGTATCTGAAGAAGAGTATCATTCTGAAGACGTGTGCATGCACATGAAAGCTTATACCTAGAATAAAACTTTGTTGGTCTTAAAGGTGCTTGAAGAAGTGTGCATACACACAAAAGCTTATACCCAGAATTAAACTTTGTTAGTTTTAAAGGTCCCATTGGACTCAAACTCTGTTCTGTACAAATCCGTGAGTCTTATTCTTTTTTTCTTTACACTTTTTCACTAACTGCAAGTTTACTATTCTAGCTTTCCTATCTTAAGGTTGCTCTATTTTTTAGAATGCCTCTGTAACCCAGAATTGTCATCATGCCTTTGTAACTAATAAGAATTGTGTAACTAAGAAGAATTTCACAATACAAGAACTCGTGGGCACTCCATGAAATTGCTGAGTGGTTGGGTTAGAACAGATAAAAAGAAGTCCTTCTTCACCCAAAGAGTGACTAACACATGGAATTCACTGCCACAGGAGGTGGCGGCGGCTACAAGCATGGACAGCTTAAAGAGGGAATTGGATAAACATATGGAGCAGAAGCCCATCAGTGGCTATTAGCCACAAGGTATAGATAGGAACTCTCAGTCTGGGGCAAGTGATGCTCTGTATTCTTGGTGCTTGTGGGGGGGGGGCAACAGTGGGAGGGCTTCTAGTGTCCTGGCCCCACTGCTGGGACCTCCTGATGGCACCTGGTATTTTTGGCCACTGTGTGACACAGAGTGTTGGACTAGATTGGCCCGATCCAACATTGGCTTCTCTTATGTTCTTAATTGTGGAACCTGTAGCTATTTGTACTGTGAAAATTACCCCCTTTTCCTGCCCCTCAATTACCTGGCTGCCAGCTGTCTCTTAGCAAGTTTAGCAGACAGGGTTTCTTATATAAGCAACTGTGCCTTGGAAAAAAGGAAGAAAAAAATAGTAAGTTAAAATAATCCAGATCTGAGGATAAGTAAACAGTGACCATAAAAGTGAATATCACTCCCTGTACAGCAAATTGAGTGTCTAGTGTACAGACACCAGAGTTGCCACCTTTTCGTCAGAGAATGCACCCCACAGAACACCCTCCCTACAATTCAAAGCACCACAGGACAGGCAAAAAAAAAAATTGTCCTTGGAGAACACATATCCTCTGATGTAAAAATGTCCCCTCTCCAACCATGTTTTTCTTCTCCACAGGCCCCAACTTGTTCATGAATAATGTCAAGGTTCTTCTACGGTTTAGTCAAGGCAGTTAAAGAACAGCAACCTTGGAGTTGTTGATCGCAATTAAGTTTACCTCATGGGGAAATTCTGCACTGCCAAATGGCCTCACAGGGAATATGTATGTATTTTATTACATACCGAAAATGCAATGCTAATCCATACGCTAAGAAGTATTCCCGGATTTTGGTAGCTGATAGGTTATGGGAACCATATCATGATTTATAGATCACACAGTATAGAGAAGGTAGAGAAAGAAGTACTTTTCTCCCTTTCTCACAGTACAAGAACTTGTGGGTACTCAATGAAATTAATGAGCAGTAGGTGTAGAACAGATAAAAAGAAAGTACTTCTTCACCCAAAGAATCATTAATGCGTGGAATTCATGTGCCACAGGAAGTGGTGGCATCTACAAACACAGACAGCTTCAAGAGGGGATTGAATAAACATGGAGCAGAGGTCCATCAGTGGCTATTAGCCAGAAGGTATAGGTGGCTCAAGTGGTTAAGACACTGAACTGCAGCCTGTGGAAGGTTGGTAGTTCAGCAGTTCGAGACCCGAGTGTGCCACATGACGGAGTGAGCTCCTGTCTCTAGTTCCAGCTCCTGCCAAACTAGCAGTTCGAAAGCAAGAAATTGCAAGTAGATAAATAGGTACCACTTCAGTGGGAAGGTAACAGCGTTCCTTGTACCTTGGTGTTTAGTCATGCCGGCCACATGACCACGGAAATGTCTTTGGACAGTGCTGGCTCTTCCGCTTTGAAACGGGGATGAGCACCGCAACCCTAGAGTCGGATTGACTGGCTTTCAAGCAAGGGAACCTTTACCTTTACCTATAGATGGAACACTATGTCTGGGGCAGTGGCGCTCTGTATTCTTGGTGCTTGGGGGGGGCACAGTGGGAGGGTTTCTGGAGTTCTGGCCCTGCTGATGGATCTCCTGATGGCACCTGGGTTTTGGTCACTGTGTGACACTGAGTGTTGGACTCATTGGCCTGATCCAGCATGGCTTCTCTTATGTTCAGTACTACAGACCCATTCTCATTACTGCCACTAGAGCTTGGAAGCCATTTTGGTGTAGTGGTTAAGTGTGCAGACTCTAATCTGGGAGAACCGGATTTGATTCCCCACTCCTCCACTTGCACCTGCTGATGTGACCTTGGGTCAGTCACAAGCTCTAGCACAGCTGTTTCTGAAAGAGCAGTTTGTGGCAGAGTTCTCTCAGCCCCACCCACCTCACAGGATGTCTGTTGTGGGGAGGGGGAAGGAAAGGAGTTTGTAAGCCGCTCTAAGACTCCAAGTGAAGGGCGGGGTATAAATCCAATCTCCTCCTCCTCCTCCTCCTTCAGCTTGAAACAGCAAAACAGCATTGGGTCTTACTGGCAAGCAAGTGCCTTCCAGGTTTTCATTCCA